ATGCTGTTACTAAAAAAATGGGCCTATTTCATAATCTTTAGTCTGTCTAATAGCTCTTACACAGTGAAAATTCCTTTTTTCCTTTCTTAAATTCGTAATCATTGCGACACGACAATTAGCCAGAAATTAATTAATTTCCATTCACTAGTATTTAAAAAAAAATCTTAACAGACAGTTTCACTCAAGTAAGAACTTCACGTAATACATCCCTCAAGAATTCCGAGTCCCACCCACTACCATAAATTACTTCACCTAAGTCTTACCGACTGATATTATTCAAAGCCCCCACTGCCCGCTAAGAATTTTTCGGACACCCTACACTTCTGAGTCAGACGCGAAGAGAACACTTTGCCGACTCCCCACTAGAAAGAATGTAAGTTACTTAATACTTTTTCTGGCCTTTATATCGTCATGTACATTCACTGTCCTTATTATATTTTTTATTTTTATATTATTTTTATATTATTTTATATTATTTTTTATTTGTTTTTTACAAAGTTTGTATCTTTATCTTATTTTGTAATCTTCGATGTTTATTTCAACTTTATACTTTGAATTCTATTTCATAATGACAATTTCCAATGTTTAATTTTTACAAATAATATAGAACTCAAATGCATAAACACGGGGGTGTCGGGGACGGTTACTCGAGTTTTTTCGGATTTCTCTACAGAAATTGCTTTTCACTCAAAATTGAATTGGCTAAAATGCTTCATAAGAATAAGTTCTTTGAGTATCAGCATTGGTTCATAATCCCTTCTTATTCGCGGAAATATTTGGCCTGACTAGAATTGCTGGTTTGGCTTACCTTATTACTCGAATAAAGACGAAACACCTTCGTATTTACGTATTTATTTATTAATTATTGTTCATTGAACGGGAGTTGGTTTGTTCCCCTTGAAAAACCAACTAATTTCCGATCAATGACAATGATTACATGCTTTTAATTTAATTTTTTCTTTTACAATTGAAATTTTGTTCTTCATGATGATTTAATTCCAGTCCCCGTTAAAACATTATTAACATTTTTACTTTCAAGTTACTTCAAAAACATCTTTCAAAATATACTTAACTTACCAGTATGGATTCACTCTTTTAAAATAATTCTACTTTAATTAAACTTAGGAGATAATATAATCAATTAATCAATATTGTTTAGAAATAAATTATTATTAACTTACTTTGCAGCAATTGCGGAAGTAGTAGTAACTTGTTTTCGCACTAAATAAATTTAAGATTATATATATATATATATATATATATATATATATATAATAAATTAACCACCACTTAACACTGCATCGGGAATTCTAAACATATGCTGCTTTTAAAGTGTTTATAATTTTGCTGTTGAACTGTACGTGGTTAAGTGTGAAGAAAACGATATTTGATTTTGCAACTAGAAAGGTGGGAGGGAAAGAAGGTTAGCAAAAGTAAACATTTCGGTAGCTGCAAGTTCAGCTAGAGCGTATAAAAAACAAACTGTTTTGGTCAACTGTTAAAATCTGAAAAAGCAGTTTTTTTATGGTAGACATAATAAATACATTTCATATTAAAAAAAAATTACCATAGTCGATAATGGAAAGTATGTTTTCGAGCTGTATCAAGTTGTAAATATATGGTATGTGCGGTTATGGCAAAGCCTCGAGGGCTATCTACCTAAGGGGAGCGATGCCTTCGTGGATGACTTTCTAAAAGAAACTGGCTTGTATACACATGGGAAAAACCACGAAAACACCCATGCAGCCAGCCCGTTCGCGGGATTCGAAACTCGGACCGAACTACCAGTGTTTGATTATAGCAAAGCATTTGATTTAATTAATTATTTCTCTGATTTAATTAATTATTTTAGTTTTTAATTTTCTTATTGCTGTTGTGCAAAAATTTCATAGAATGAAGATAGGAAAATTTTTAGCCGACATTTTTAAGAAAGCATTTTTTGCTTCAAGATGTTTTTCATTTATAGCAGATTTAGAACAAAATCGGAGTTTTTCCGAATCCAAATCCACATATTTTCTAATCTCTTGAATCTTTCATAGGTGTGGTTAGGTTATGTTATTTGAATGTGGCAAAGCATAGTAAGAGTATCTGCATAAGGGAAGGAATACCTTCTGGAGGACTTTCTAAGAAAACTGGCTAATATTTACGTTATATTTGGCGAAAACACGAAACCACCATGCAGCCAGTCCGTCTGCCTGCGATCCAACGCATGTCGAAATCACAGGTCTAATCTTTTATATAAAATTCATAAGAAGAGGAAGAAAGTCTGCATTTAATATTTGAAGTGGTTAATTAAAGTAAAATCTGAAATCTGCGTTTAATGAAAACAAATTTAAGAATACTTAAAGAAAACAGGTTTATATTTATTCAGCAGATACAAATAAAATTTCAAAAATGAAGTATGTAATTAAAATTTGAATCTTGACGCTCATTTTCACAGCATAGTTTAACTAAAATATTGAAGTAACAATGTGAAAGTTTACAATTTTTATTTTATATTTCTCTTTTTTTTTTTTTTTTTTTTTTTTTTTTTTTTTTTTACAATTGAAAATTTTTTAGAATGTTTCAAAATTAAAGCAAGTGAAACGAACAGACGATTATTCAAGAATTAGAGAGAGTTTCAAGAGTTCATAAATAATCATTGAGCATGGAATTTTAAATTTCTTCCAAAAAAACTGAGAAAATTTTATTTTAATTTTTATCCCAAAGAGGCATTAGCTCAGAAGGGCCCGAATTCAGAATATTCATTTGGAAGCCCGAATTTAGAATATGTATTATCGTCTGTTTTATATTTTGCAAAATATTAATGAATTTTTTGTTAACAAACTCAACGAATTCAAAACGACCAATGGCAACACTATATGGGGCAAAAATAAAACAAAACAAAAAATTATCTCCAACCCGCGAGACTGTATATCGGAAATTCTGAAGATATTCTAAAGAATATTTTAAATATTTTTAGCTTAGAAGGACATTAGTTCAAATGCTCTCGAAACGTGTATGTGTGTATAAATGAAGAAAACGCCACTTTAGATGTAATATAAAATCTGAAAGCTTTCAGGATTTTTTTCTTTACTTATTTGAAGAATTCTTGAAAGTACATTTGCTATATAGCATTGGGGCACGGGTTCGAGAACGTTACGTGTGTTTGAGTCATCTTTGACTGAACGCGTTAGCAGCAGTATTCCGTAAACTTGGTAATAATGAAAGGAGGTTAAAAGAGGTTTATACATATAAAAAATGAACTTAAGTACCTGGGACCACTAATAATAATAGATCAAAGCTCTACAAAAAATCCTTGAGGCAAAAGCAAGTTCAATTTTTGCTATTATCAGTTGAAAATTTAAGGGCTTTCCTTTTTGTAAATCCCACCAGTGATAAAGCGTAAAAACCGCTGAACCTTGGTTTTTCGGTTCTGGATTTGAATCCGGCGAATGGATTGGATCTGGTTACAGCCGAAAACATCGCGGCAAAAACATCGCGGACAAAAACGTCGCGGAGAAAACAGCGCAAGGCAAAAACGTCGTGCTACAAAATATCGTGGGAGAAAACATCGCAACGAGAAAACATCGCAGTTCTAAAACATCGTGGTACAAAACATCGTCGTCTAAAATAAAGCGGTTCAAAAACTTCGCAGTTTAAAAACATCGTCGTCGAAAATATCGCGGTAAAAAATAAAGTATCTACAAATCATCGCATGACGATAAAATCGCAGACATGCTTCTTTCAGGCTTTAATAACTGTAAATGGATATTCCCATAATGATTTGTGATCGCAAGATGGAAAGAAGGATAATTTTTACTTTCATACTTTTTATTAACTAATAAATTTTTGCTGAGAAAATAAGAATGAAACTTAAGCATAGAAAATTAATGCAACTTATAGCACTTATATAATTTTAAATTAAACCGACATAGTTAACTAACAAAGGCCATTAATAAATCATTTTTATAACGTTTTTACTGGTAATTTTTCATGAAAAGTATAATCTATAATTTGCATTTAATTTTTTATGCTTAAGTTTCCTTCTTACTTTTTCAGCAAACATTTATTAGTTAATAAAATATGTGAAAATAAAAATTATCCTTCTTTACATACTGCGCTCACAAATCATATGGTAATATCCATTTACAATAATTAAAACCTGAAAAAAGCATGTCTGCGAAGTTATCGTCATGGGATGATTTGTAGATACTTTATTTTTTACCACGATATTTTCGATGACGATGTTTTTAAACTGCGAAGTTTTTGAACCGCTTTATTTTCGACGACGATGTTTTGTAGCACGATGTTTTAGAACTGCGATGTTTTCTCTTTGCGATGTTTTCTCCCACGATGTTTTGTAGCACGACGTTTTCGCCTTGTGTTGTTTTCTCCACGACGTTTTCGTCCGCGATGTTTTTGCCGCGATGTTATCGGCGGACACCGTTGGATCCATATGAGTTTTTATGGTTTTGACGTGAATATGCCAGTTTTCCTTAGAAACTCAGCATCCATAACCTCAGCCTGATAGTTCTACATGGGTATAAATTCAAGCGAATGGACTGGTTGCAGGGGAATTTTCGTCGTTTTCCTTCATGTGTATTGTGAATCCCTTTCAGAAAAGTCTCCATGAAAGAATCTCTTTCCTCAATCAGAGAGCCCTATTATGTTTTGCCTTAATTAGCCTGTCAAGCAGATAGCTCTCGACGGGAATAGGACTATTCACCGTGGCCGTTTCAGCGTCGGGACGTTTCGCCATCAATACATATTATTCTTTACATGACCGTATTGTATTAAGTTGATTTAGTTTAATAATTCTGTTTACCTATTGTATATTTAAGAGATATTTTTCTATATCTTGTCATATTACAATATTAAGTTTATTTAATTTAAGAATTTTGTTTGACCCAGATGACATCCCGCTTGTCTCGCCATCACATCTTCAGCTGCCCAGCAATCCAGGCCAGACTGTTTAACATCGGCATTGAAGACCCAGTGGACCTGCTTTATACTGATAGAGCTGCCGAGGTTGCAAAAGCTGTCTTTGACAGCTATATACGAGTAATTGCACTTTGTCATAGACACATCATCATCAAGAATCATCATCAAGACATCATCATCAAGAATTTTGTTTACCTATTGTATACCTCTGGTGGCTGCCTTAAATTTTAAAAGAAAAAAAAAACCTTTGTAAGTAAACACATCTTCTAGAATTACTAAATATTACCTAGAATTAATAACGTTTTTCCCAGAAAATAATTTATTTGGAAGGATTTCCTCGGTGTCGTAATTAGGTGTTATGTATATAATAGTGAACTAGCTGATTAAAATTTAAAGAAATTTTGACGAATCATGTAAACATTTTAAAATCGATAACATACCTTCTGTTACATTAGAGGTTTAGCCCCAGTTCTTTTTCATACTGACATGATTTTTCTAACTGTGTGTAATTTCTTTATAACTCATATTTGTAAATAACAGTACGTACATATTATAAGAAACCTTTATTACGTATACAAAAGGTTATAAGGTATTTCTCCTGCTTTCTTGGCAAGCCTTCGTGGTGTGGTGGTCTGCACGCTCGACGCGTAATTGAGAGGTCCGTGGTTCGATTCCCGGCGAAGGCGTTGCATATTTTTCATCTTGCCTGCTTCCAAAAAATAGCTAATGTCTCTGCAAGGTAAACATAGTTAATTTAATACTTACTAAATAAATTTAATACGAGTATAATATGGCAAGATATAATACAGTCATGTAAAGAAAAATATCTTTTGACGGCGAAATGTTCCGACGGCGAAACGGTCACGGTGAAATAGAGACGGCGAAAAGTTCTAGACACCTCTCCACTGCTTCAGGCAGAGAGCCACAATTTTAACAATCCTAACTCTTTGGATTATTAAAATTATAGCAAAGTAATCCAATCACTTGGAATTCGAAGCAAACCAATTCACGTTTGAATTATCACTTTCGCCTTTTAGCATCAATTTAAATTATAAAAACATTATACATACCTCTAGCTCTGTAAAGTAACCTGGGTTCTTTCTTAGAATCCAATACATGGACTGAGCATGGCTGACTGCATGGCAATAGTTGTGGTACTCGGTTTTGTAGTAATTATTCTTCAAAGTGCATAAAAAATAACACAACTCAGGCATAGGAAACCTAAAAAAAATTTTTTTAAGAAAATGTAAAATAGACTCAAAGTAAATGGAAATCTATATAAATTTTACAATTGTAACTCTATATTTGTATTATCAGTTATGTCTTAATAAGCCAGAACAAACTACTATAATATTTTTTTTAAAATTGCTTTTTATTGATAAAATGCGTTTTAGATATAAAAAACGTTATTCTTAGGCATGTCTTTTTGTTAATAGCAAGCCATAATTTTGACTTTCAAAACCATAATTACCTGCGTACAGGTTCGTAATAGATTGAATGCACAAGTCTGATGAAAAGTTAGTAAAATTTATTCTTATCACAAGAACAAAAAATGCTGAAATTTTTCCTCACAGATATTCGTACAATATCACACGGTAGTTATATTTTAAACTACTAAAACGTTATATAGAACCCAATCCAAAATGCAAAGAAAGCGAATCCGATTTCAAAATTACAGCTGCTGCTAAGTAAACAGCAACAACAAAATCGCAAAACGAAAACAGTAGTCCTTCGGGGACAAAGCCCCTTTGGACTAATAATTTTAATTAACTTATCATTCCCATTAAAATTGAAATGTTATCATTATTGTTACAATTATGTTTCTGTATCAAGTTCTCATAAATTAATTTCAGATCTTTTTCGTTAGAGGACAGCCCATTAGTCCCGAGCGGATAAAATCGCTAAATAATGGTAGCTCGATCCGGGTTCAAATCTTGGCAAACAGCTGTTTACACAGGCTTTTCCGAGTTTTTCCCCATGTGCAACATAAACACGAAACAGTTTCCATTAGAAAATCCTCCACGAAGACATTTGCACTCTTAGAAAATATTCATAGTGCGTTTTGTCATAATCTAATAAACCCTGCTCATCATAGGGCAATATTTTACCAAAACATTTTTTGTAGAAACATATACGCGGCTGTTTGCGACTTCCAGCGAGAAAACATACTTTTGTCATTAATTCACTTTAACTGCGATAACATTTTTCTAAACAGGAGACGTGCAGAGGCTGGTTATTTCAGTAAACCAAAAACGAAATAAAATGACATCTGACTTGCTTAATAAAAACTTTTATTTATCACTACTGACTTCGAAAACAAGGACAGTGTTATAAAATATTAGAACGATATGTTTAATTTAACGGTGGCCAACGAGGAACGTCAGCGCCTGTATCTGTCTGTATACAGGGTGATTTTAAATTACTTTTACAAATTAAGAGGGGTGATATTACTCATTCAGGTGAGCAATAATTACCATAGAATATAGGGTCGCATTCCACTCTGAGAGGCAGAAAAGAAGAATATTAGTATTCTAATCTGAACTTAAACAGTGTTGGGAGAGTGAATGAACGAGACCAAATGGTGCACAATTAGTTTAGTCACAACTCACAGAGAGTGCACAAATCGGATAAAACCGAAAACTTGGCGTTCGAGTATTAATTAGAGCTGAGACTTTGATGGCTAACACTCAAATGCACATCTTTGGTTGGCAAGGTCTCAACCTCGCAAATGATTGCAACAAGTTAATTATCTAAATTATTAGGGGGGGAATTATCTATGGGGGGGACTACCTTGATATCAAGTATCAAGGTAGCAGTTGTTTGTTTTTCTTAGCCATCTTCTATCCTGTCTTCCTGGATTTACTCTCCGCGTTCATTCTACTTGATGCGCCCTTCTATGGGATACGAAGCTCTGACAGCCGGAACGCAGCATGGGCTTTTTCATGCTAATCTCGGCATGCAGCGGACGTTGGAGTTAGTTGACAATATTCAGCCCTTGATTACATAATTAACTTGTTGCAATCGTTTGCGATGTTGAGACCTTGCCAACCAAATATGTGCATTTGAGTGTTTGCCATCAAAGTTTCAGCTCCAATTAATACTCGAACACCAAGTTTTCGGTTTGATCCCTTGCGTGCACTCTCTGTGAATTTGTCAGTAAACTAATTGTGCAACATTTGGTCTCGTTCATTCGCTCTCCCAACACTGTTGTAAGTTCAGATTAAAATTCTAATATTTTCTTTTCTGCTTCTCAGAGTGGAATGCGACCCTATGTTCTAAGGTAATTATTGCTCATCTGGATGAGTACTATCCCCCCTCTTAATTTGTAAAAGTAATTAATCTTTATATATGTAAGCGGCTTAAGTGTTTGTCGCCTATAGTTTATTGTTGGCAGTCGGGAAAATGAGCGCGGAAATTAACGTTTCCGTAGTTTTTATTAATATCTCCACCGATTAAAGTCGTACGAAGATGAGAACGATATCGATGGATTCGGAGAATGTTTTTGAATCCGAGGATACGAGTCTCGAATTTCAACTCAGAGCCGTTCCGTAGATATTCGAGAAAAAATAATTTGGTCCATAACCAAATCCCTCTAATAGAGAAAAAACCCAAGAAAGTGGAGAATGTAGGGAAAACGTAGGTGTGTGTATTGGTGTATTGAGGATACGGCAAAGCACACTAGGGCTATCTGCGTAAGGGGAGGGATGCCTTTCGTGGAGGACTTTCTAAGGGAAACTGGCTCGTATACACGTTACACATGGAAAACGTAGGAGAAAATTAGCTTTTAATTAACATCTCGGCTGACGAAGACGCGAAGCGAATGGTCAAAATGGCGTGCCACGGACCTACGGAATCCAAAGGTGTGTTTCTCTAAGCCCGGGAGCCAACCGTTTCGGAGGAGATAATGTTAATTCACCCCATATATATATGCGGCTTAAGTGTCTGTTTGTCGCCGATAGTTTATTGGTTGCTTGCGTAACTGTACTAGCCAATAGGGTGAAGTTGCCACGGCACAGGGTTGACGTTTCAATTGAGACGTAGAACAATTTCCTTGTAAAACTTGCCTATGACCATCCATAAGCATGACATGGCGCATATGCATGACCATCCATAAGTTTCAGGGCCAGACATTTAAGCGTGTTGCCATTTTTTTACCTGAGCCTGCATTTGGACACGGTCAACTTTATGTTGCCTGTTCAAAAGTTCGTGACAGAACGGACGTAAAATTAAAAATAATGGATGGTCCTCTGCAAGGTGAGCTTAAAAATGATGGAAAGATCTACACAAGAAATGTTGTGTACAAAGAGATCTTTGACATGTGAATTAACATTTTATTATTTAATCACCTTTATTTATTGAGCTAGCGGCGGCTCTTAAGAAATGTACCGCCAATGGTTTCCTTCATTGCACTCTACTTTAAGCAATTAAGCAAGTATAAGGGGGAAATCCCGCGGGGCAATAAGCAAAGGGTCGTCCTCGTCGCCTGCCCTGAGTAATTCAGTTTGAATTAAGACACCTTTGCACAAATCATTTTAATTACAATTTATAATATCTAGAACAGCGGTCATTTTGTACGACTGCCGGGCTTTCTAGTTTATAATAACCCTGTATGTACATTTAATCTGAAATACTGCTGCTTCGTTTGTAAAGTCAAAGTAAAGTTTGCAAAGTAAGAAAAAAGATTCACAGTTTCTTATGCTCGAATTTTGGTTATTTCGTAAATGCTGATACATCTTGGATATTTAACTGCTTTAAACAAACATATGGGAAGTGAATGAAAAATATTTACTCTAAACAAAAGAAAGCTTGACATGTAATCATTGTTGAAAATACGAACTATTAAGTCTAATAATGCGTATGTTATTGTTGTCGTTTCACATTTCAACAAAGCGTTGTAATCTGTTTAAACTTAGAAATGCAACAATCACGTATCTTATTTTATTTTTCATTCTAATTTTGATAAATTTCCTTCACCATATGCTAAGTTAAATTGATCGAGTCACATCAGGAGTACTCTAAATCAATTTCGTCAGCATTTCAAATTATGATATCTTCTACTTGGAGCTGGGGCGAAGGCGATGATGAGGAGTTAGTTATAGAAGCGAAGCGAGCTATAGCTTACCTACAAACAAAAAGGAATTACAGGTAACTAACTAACTGCTTTTGTTTGAATGATGAAAACTAATAGTGACTTCAAAGTCACTGACTATTAGTTTTCATCATTGACTTAGTTTGGAGTGACTTTGGAGTCATTGACTATTAGTCACGAGCGATAGTCAGTGACTTTAGTTTATTGACTATAGATTTTATGATATGAAAGTAAATTTCTATGCCAAAAAACTTCAAATCTAGGCTATTGTCGACATATTTAACGTTGGTCTTAATTTTTTTCATCGATACTGAATACTATTATTTTTAAAAAAACTGTTTCAAAGTGATTTGTAAAGCTTTTTTGTTGGAAAACCCGTGCGCTCTTTCAATATGTTGCAATATCACAAAAGTATGAACAGGTATACTAATTCGAAAGTCAAAAAACAAAAATCAGCGTTATATTTTCAAAATTTTCACAGGACTAGTTTCGATGGTTTTACCGAACCACCATCCTCGGTTTTGCAGCTGAGGATGGTGGTTTTGGCGGTTTTGCAGCTGAGGATGGTGGTTCGGTAAAACCATCGAAACTAGTCCTGTGAAAATTTTGAAAATATAACGCTGATTTTTGTTGTTTGACTTCTGAATTAGTATTTATTCGGCGTGTTATTGTGTCTTAATTATGAACAGGTATTTATTAAAATTTTTAATGGCACAGTGAAAAACGCACTGTTAGTCTTTATATAAAAATATGCATATTTCTTTCATAACTGATGTTAAATGCGATTATAAGACAAGGTAGTTATTAGAATCTTTCTAAGCCAAAAAGCTTCGGGTACTTCACTCAAAATCACTACGCAAATATTTACAAGGAAAGAGGCATCAGGTAAAAAATATTTATAACTTTGCATCAAGTATGTATGAAAATTAGTTCTGAACTGTAAATTTCTTTGGAGAGAAATTTTTAACCTGATGATAGCTGCTTCGTCTGCTTATTTAATTTTTAGTATAAATCTGCTGCAGTTTCAATGTATGTGTAAGGTTTAATTATGTTTTATGAAATAGTTTTACTTTTGTTTAATGGTGTAAATTTTTCTTTGCCAATATAAAAAATGTACGCCTTTAATTTCTACTGCACATTGTTTCTGTAATAACGAATTAAGTAACGAGTTACAGTTACTAACGAAAGTTGTGAACTTTCGCTTGGTTGAAGATATCTTCTTTTTCCCAGAAATGGATGCTCGTTTTGCACAAAGTAAGATAAACATAAAATGTTTATTTTACGTGAAGGATGATATTTCAAATAGCGTTTACAAAAGATGACAGCAAAGCAAAAAGAATTAATAGAAGGGAAAAAAAGGGTATAAATCCAAATAAGAATATGTATCACCTGCCTAAACTGTTGCTGAAAGTTTCCATTACTCGAGAATATATAATACATGATTAAATGAGTTATATTGTTAAATTTTCAATTAAAAAAACCGCTGCACCTGTTTGTTCTTACTGTGGGTGTGTTCTTACAGTGCGTCACTGTTTAGTTGACTGCGTGTATTTTAAGACACTTCGTTTAAAGTAGTTTAGTGACTATGACTTGCCTCTTGACCAAATAATCGGGAAAGAGGTCAATACTAATTTATCTCAGTATTTGAAAGAAACAGGCTTTTATCACCTAATTTGATAATACCCTTGTACTTTAATAATGTAATTTAAACACACATTTCAGAACTTATGTAAATCATGATTCACTGTTTCACATTTCATATTTTTATATAAATTATGAGTAACTTCATTTAAATATTCATCATTTTATTACTTCTTTTGATTTTATATGTCTGTTGTGTTAAATTTGTGATTGTGCTTAATTGTTTTGTATGTTTTAATTGTGTACTCTCAACATGTGTCTGGCGCTAATAACCTTTCCAGGTTATGCGCCATTAAACCACTAAACCTAAACCTAAACAACCTCTGAAAATTTCATTTAGGAAAGGAGTTCATCGTACTTTAGATCTTTTTCCATGCGAAGAATATCATGGTAATTTGTTTATCTTCAATTTAATGCCTACGTCCTTTGTTAGTCAATTTTATTTTTATTGTTTAACCGTACGTGTTCTTTACTATATATATTCATTAAATTTAAATCTTTTATGGACTATTCAAAGAAAGGAAAGAGGAATTATTGCAATCTAATTTATCATATCATCGGTCTGTCTGCTGTAAATTGAAGCTAGAACTTTTCAAATTCCCTGTGAATATATCTAATTTTATACTCTGCTCACGTTTGTTCCAGATATGTTGAATTCCTTGCTCAGGGAGGATACGGATGGGTGTCTTTGGTTTATGATGATGTTCAATCTCGTGCATTGGCTGTTAAGTGCACAACTGAAACCAGCGAGATGGAACTCGGATGGTGGCCAAAGTTACATCATCCCAACATCTTACCACTCCTAGAGTACATCACTCTTGATGCTTGTACCGTCTTCATCATGCCAGCCATGAGGAAGGATTTATGGATGTGAGTTGAATCGATACATTTTCATGTGCCGAATTCATTTTTCATGTGTAGAACGAAAACACCAAATCTAATTTAAAACCGATTGACTAACAGTTAATTTTAAAGAGGCTTGCAGTTTTCCATTTTATTTACAGCAAGCATGATAAATTGCAGGTTTCAGCCCTAACGAAGCCATTTCAGTTATCAATATAAATATCCACTGAAGCAAAATAATTAGATGTAACAAAGACGCGCCAGTGTAAAATTAGCCGTATTTTACCATCAGACTGGAGTTAGTTTAGCGTTAAAATAGAAAAGAGATGTATAAAATACATTTCAAATTGTCTTTCGATATTTTAAGAGATTATGTTTTGAATTAAACACAAATCTAAGGTTTAATTTTATAAAGTTCTAGTTAATTTAACATGTTCTTGGCTACTAGAACTTTTATGGAAGTGTCCAGACTTATAAAATGTAAGTCCAAAGAAGGTTTAAAAATATACTTTTATTCACTCAAAGAAACACTCTCACAGAAGGCCCCTTCTTGGCCTTGCAGGAAAGCCACCACTTGGGATAGAAACTTAAGATAGAAAATAAGAAATTAAAGTAATTCGAATTAACTAAACTTTAGCCGAAGCTGCACAAAGATAAGTAACCGAGTTGGCCAGTAATTAAACCTGACCGGCACGGAAAACTACGGCTTACGTAATAAGATATACTTAAAGCAAAGACATGGCCCGAAGACAGAACACGCTCTACTCAGAACTTCTGAGCTCTTTTCCGGAAGTGACTTAACTTTTCCGGAAGTGACTGACCGTTAAATACTGATTCTACTTCATTTATATAAAACACGATACTGAAATCTCATTCTGGTAGGGAGTTGTTGGTGGAAAACAAGAATTTAAAGAAGAGGGTTTCAAAATTAAAAATAACTGTTAGAAAATTATAATAATCCCTAATATTTTGCGTGACTTAGTTACGACTATATTTTATCCTAAACTAAATATGCTCTTTTGATGTAAATTTATTGAAATATCTTAGTTTTATGTGCTGTTGTGTGTATAAAAATAGCAAATTTGTCAAACTTTTTTTTTTCTTTTTTCAAGAAACAAATTCCTTTTCGCCAATTTCATTAAATTTCAGTAGTTTTGTTTTAATAAGTTGAGAAAGAAATTGCTTTTTATATCGAAAACTAAGTAACAAAGGCCTTTAAAGAAAGGACACAACTCCTATTCGAGTTAATAATTACAACGATAATACTTCCACATTGCAGTTCTACATATTTCATTGGCAGCTATAGTAATGTTCTTGTATTTAATGTAAATCCCAAATTATTTAATGTAAATCCGTTGCTTATTTATGACGTTTACATTGTGTATGCTCCCTGTTTTATTTCTTTATAGAAATAAGAAATAAAGTAAGAATTTTAATGGCTTAAAAAATAAAAGTATTTAAGATAGCCATGTTAAAAAGATTAAAATCGATCTTGACGCAATCAAGATTTTGGAAAACACTGAAGAACTTGTAGGAAAGTAGAGTCTTCTATAGCGATAAGAATAATCCAAACTCTTACTTTCTGCTGGATATCATCGCTTTATAAGCTGCGCCTTCACATGCACGCAAATGGCTAGTGAAGTGGAACTGGTAACCTCCTCTTGAGACTGCATTTGCGAGCGATTAGATACTAATCAGTTCCACCAATATACACGGAAGTGGGACTGAATGCCAGTGAGAAAGCGGTTGAGGAGCAACTAAGGCAGCTGGTGACTGCTTTTTCTCAATGAAGCGTCCGAATGCTGCCGGGGAATTAGATAATCCAAACGACATCTCCTTGAACTGCAAAACATCAGGGTGTTTCTCTACCTGCCGATATCCACTCTTTAAATCAAACGTCGAAAACTACTTGCTTCCAGAAAGTGTGTCCAGAATATTGTCAGTGCTAGATAGAGGGTAGCAATCTTTCTTCATAAGCACGCAACAGTATATATACACAATAGGGAACTCAGAAAAGAACAAAATGTGTATTATAACGCTGAAACTAACTAAAATAAATCGCTTGAAAACAGCCTCTGTATATGAAGGAAATTAAACCCTATCATATAAGTATCAAAAGTAATTTTCTAAACTAATTTTGAAGTTAATATTAAAATTAATATTTAAAGTTAATATTAATTTTGAATATAAGTACCAAAAGTAATTTTCTAAACTTGAAAATATATACAAAAGTTAGTTTTTTTTTTCTGAAATTTTCTATAAGTGTTTTCGAATCTTGATTAATCAAAAGTCTGACAACGCAAGGTTTTGATATATTTCAATTTTTTTTTTTTTTTTTTTTTTTTTTTTTTTTTTTTTTTTTACCGTGCACTAAACATTTATAAATACTTTTGCAACATAACATTGTTTAACAATCATAGTATTGAGTTTGACTAATTGAATCGCTATAATCTCTCTCTGTTTAAGATAAATTAAAATCTTTCTTTGGAGATAGATATCGAATTAATTAACATATACATGAGGAAATATTTTAAAATTAATAATGATTTTCGTTCATAACCTCTTCGGTTTTTAGCTTGAATCAAACCTTACATGGTTGATTATATTTTGTAAAACAACCTTTCAAAAATAAGTTGCGCAAAAAACCCTTAAGGGGCAGTAGAAGGTAAAAGATTAGAAATCACTATTCTGAAATGAGAAATGGAAACCAAGGGACTTATCTTTTTTAAAGATTTGTTGTTTGAAATATTTTCTGATTCAGAATTTTTGCTTAAGGTTGTTTACAAGCAGAATATATACAAATCAGCGTAACTTTCATTTAAAAGTATATGTTCGGTATCTTTCCTTCCCTCCCCCCCCCAACCCCGCCAAAAGAAAATTTACTAAAAATAATTTGCTTAAATTGATGGTCTATTTTACTTTTAAAAAAATTATGTGGACTGTACACATATTTTTAAAGTAAATGGACCATGTGTTTGGGGCATGATAATCTAATAGGTTATGCGCTATACAATGCATAAACAAAACAAAACCTTAAACTGATAGTGAATATTATGGAATTCAATGATATTTTCAAACTGAATTCTATATTAAACTGAATTCCATAACATATTCAGATCAGTTTAGGGCGAAATATTTCTAGACTTTGTGTTTAAATATATAGCTTCAAACTGCTGACTCGAAACAAATTAAGCCATTTAATACTAACTGGTACATAGAATTTATTTTACTGTCATATATTTCCCGTCTGCAAATACGTATTTTACTTGTATTAACATGTGCTTCTTCCCATAGGTGTGTTAATGAGCCACGTTTTTATAGCGAAGAACTGAGTTTCGGACTCTGTCGAATCTGGCTTCGAGACGTGGCCACTGCGCTTGACCATCTGCACGAACATGGCCTCTGCCATCTCGATCTGAAATTGGACAACGTGTTTCTGAAGCCGGATGGGTATGCCTGTCTGGGTGACTTTTCGCTCTTGTCCGACCTAAAGGAAGTAAGTCCTTTGTTTGATTTATTTTCAGTAAAACCTCACATTACAAACCTAAAGTTCTAATCCCATTATGTTTCGGTTACGCGGGACTGGACGTCGAAAGGAACAATTCTCAGAACTCCCACATTTCCAGGAAACTCACGTAGCTAGGTTACCATTTTCACTTGCTACAAAGACTTGAACGCCAAACAGTAATCGATTATCGCTCAGATTGGGATCACGGGATCCTTCAGAAGCAGAACTTTTGTCTAATTGGTTGATCTCTACCAGGTACAGAGCTCCAGCCAAGACATTTTCGGTGAAGTTTCAAAAATCCCGCGTAGCCGCTACAACTTTTCCGTATCTAGACGGGACTTCGCTTCCAGGGGGGCTCTTTTTTCTAGGAATCCTCCCGGTTAAACCATTGCTACACAATCTCGTTTCTCAGAAAAGTCCCGTCTAGCAGGCACTGTCGCTAGAAGTGATAACAGCATTTATGCGTATAAAATATTCAGGTGAAAATATCGTGAAGCGATTCTGACGACGGCCAGTCAGATGCTCGTTCTATGAAACGATTCATGTATCCGAAACTATCGCATAGGAACTGAGGGGTCATGAACTACGTCATCATAACCAGCGGGGTGGTTGCACATGGTCTGTGTATTGTTCTTATTTCACGAGATTGTGCTGAGTTCACATACGACATTTATTACTATGATAAAGTACAACACACAGTAGATATTCACATTTGGCCGGAAGCCAACACTGAACAGTGGTTAGTGATACATAAACGTTGGCATATTAACTGGTCTGGTCTGGTAGAAATGTAGTGGGCCACCTAATGTTTACTATAAGTAACGTAGGTATAGTCCCACCACACTTCGATCTAGAGAAAGCCCAAAAGATCACAGAGCTCATCCAGCTGTCGGGGAGCGAAACATTTGTTTCACCTCACACCGACAGTCCAGAGACCTCCCGTGAACCCCGGGACTCCCAACCAAGACTCCGGACATTTATTACAATTTCAAAAATATGTACAAAATGTACATAACATTTAACAGGTGGAGCCATAGCACTTACGTGCTTTGGATACATATCCAGTTTCGACTTGTACAATTTGGTTTTGGTGGTAGCGATACATATATATTCGGTGTAATACAACTGATACAATTAAGACAATTAATATAATACAATTTTGACCAGTTATCAATAGATGGTATAGTTTTGAGAATTTAAATTAATTAGTACCGTACTTAAATGAATAATACAATTTAGTGTTTCTCTAATTCAATATATAATGCAATGTATAATTTAATTTAGTTTCGTATAGCAATTCAATATAAATATTCAAATATAACACTCTTTATATATTCAATAGATCAATAATAAATAGTTCATTGATCCTAATAGTTTATATTGTTGTTTTACCTTATTGTTTTAATAAGAAGTTTTTTTAATATATCTCATGTTTGATTATTTTAGTCTTGTTTTGTAATTGAGATAATTATGTGATGTGTGTGTAGTAGTTTATTTCAAATATTTTATCATCGTATTCATTAATATTGTAGATAACCTCATCATTGTATTTTATGCTATTCTTGTGGCTTTTAGGTTGTCTGTTTGTTTATATGTCTATTTGTGCTAAAACATTTTTTTGACGTGTGTTCCGGCATATAACGTTGAGGTTTTGAGCATATAACCGTTGAGGTTACGAGCTGGCTCTGTACTAGTACTAAACCCATAAGGTATTTCTCCCGCCTTCTTAATAATTATAGTTATAATAGAGTTAATAGTTTATAATAGTAATAGTTCATACAAGTTCAAAATAACACATTGGCATACATTTCCCAAATAGTTCATTGCTATATAATTCATATATAATTTGTATATAGTTTATAATAGTACATTTATAGGATATTGGTAAATAATTCTTAGTAATTCAGGAATCAAACAACAAAAATCAGCGTTATATTTTCACAGGACTAGTTTCGATGGTTTTACCGAACCACCATCCTCAGCAGCATGCCTCAGCTGGTGGTACGGTAAAACCATCGAAACTAGTCCTGTGAAAATATAACGATGATTTTTGTTGTTTTACTTCTGAATTAGTATTTGTTCGGCGTAGTTAATAAAAAATAATTCCATAATTAGGTAAACAGTTCCCAATTGTTAGTATTTGGTATAGTTTACATCTATTCAGAAGGATTATTAAATCCGTTAGGATCTAGGAATGGCTCTAGATTAATAGTTAATATTTTATTATTTCATAATAGTTCATTGTCGTTATTATTAGTATCATAATCAACAGATTAATAGACAATGACATGATCATGTATAATTTTTAGAGTTAGTATATACATTGACATTTTGATTGGTATCATAACCATTAGATATAATTATAATAGTAGACCAACAGCCATAATTATAATAGTTCATAATAGCTTCTCTATGTATAGTTTATTATTACGAGTCCCCCTTTTTTTTATTTGAGATGTTGTCATTTCACATCATAAGTTTTTTCGAATTCTTTTAGTTAAGTGCCTGTGTATCACATTTTGTTTAATGTAAATGTTTTCACTTGATAGCGTAAAATACAATACTTAATAAGTTGACATAATTGGTTTATAAGTTATAATTTAGTTTTAGTTCATGTAATAGATTTCATCAGTTTATTTTGTACCATAAATATATTTATATCAGTGTCGTAGTAATTTTCCTAATATTTTTCTGTCTTCTTTCTTGCGAAGCACTTGTCATTAATGGAAATATATACATTTAAATAGTATTGTCGACATTTTAATTATATTGTTTTCGTGAATCAAGGTGAAGGAATGATTTTAACTTGTTGGTTGTAAAGATGAATTTTAATCTAAGATGTCATATTCGGTTCTTGTAATTATTTTGCTCACTTCCTTTTGATATACTGGAAAGTTTGGCGCGTAAGCAGGGTGATACATATTAAGGTCCGTATTATTAGCGTCATTATTGAGTTTGCAGTTTATACACGATGGACTTTCTGTTTGACATTGGTTGTCTACTGCGAGATTATATACTTTACCTTTCCTGCTCGGCGCAGCCGCAAAGGAGGAATGCAAGCTTCCTAACAATGTGACACAAATTTAACTTTGCAAGGAATAGAAGACAAGATAATTAAAGCCTTGCAAATCAGGAATTGTAACTACACATAAAGCTGCTAATACAACAATTAGCTTGTGTCCAAATCCCGATGAATTATGAGTTTTTCGCATGTGCATCGTTAAATACAAGCCAGAGAAAACCCTTAAAAAGAAAAGTTCCCGACGACGCCACACTTTAATTAGGCAAATAGCCCTCGTCGTTCTGAATGCCCTTGTTTGAATTACACAAGCAAACGGATGTAATATCATTTTCTACTTGCATTTAAATTCACGGTATTTCTAGGCATTAAGCAGCTACAAAGTTAGATCTTTTAAAGATAGATAAATCACGAATATAGTTTAGTTTGATCTTATCGGAATTTAAAAGTTGATGTTAGGAATATTTTAACATTCCTAGTTACTGTTGCTAGAGGTTTAGAAAAAATTCAACGAATTTAAAATAATAAAAAATTATGTAACTTATTTCACTTGGTCAAAAATTTATCAAACCTGGCAATTCTCTGTATAAGTAATGAAGCAGAATTTAAAAAGGAAAAAAAATTAATTTGCTTCGTTAAATGCAAGAAAAATTAAACGGTAAAAAATGAAGAAATTAAGTGCAATATATTTTACGCTAACTACATTATTATTTATAACATTTCAGCTTTATTTCCTAATTGTTATTGCAAATAGGTATTTTTCTTCGTTTATTTACTTCCTTGTACGAAGGAGATATTGTAATCGCGAAAAATTTTGCTTCCTTATACGACGTAAAGAAAGTATTGTAATCGCGAAAAATTTCGGCTGTTATATTTGAACGAAAATATCCATTTCAACCTCTCTCGAAACCATTTGAACGATGTTTTTGCTTGACGTCCGTCTGGACGTACGGACAGAATAAAATACTGTTTCTGCCAAAAGGAATTGTAAAATGGATTAAAATGGATTCAGGAGAGATATTTTTTCTTTGACGTCTGTACGTACGTACGTATGTATCTCGCATAACTCAAGAACGATAGCCGTTGAAATTTTATATAGAGGACTCGCATAACATATAGCAGTGCACCTCCCGTTTTCGTTGCAATCGCTGCACCAATCGTATATAAATATATGTATATATTCCTACTCTGTTACTGACTCGTTGAGCTTAGTTTTTTTATTCTTATATATTGGTAAATTGTGAATTTTTTGGTTTAAAAGTGATCTAATATTGTGTGCTGTTTATTTTCTGAAAGTTTTTTTTTTTTTTTTTTTTTTTTTTTTTTTTTTAAATTTTTTATCTGCATGCAACAGTTCTAAAATTATCAACAGTTTAAAAGTTTAAATGGCAAGTTAACCTCAATGAACAGTGAGACGACGAAAAGTAAACTTTTCAGTCTTGTGCACCGGAATATTTGCCTTCTTGGCCCTTCGACTGAATCGCTTGATTTTGTGCAGAACCTCTAATTTTAATTGTAAAAATTGTTTATTCAACTTTTTTATTAACTGTATTTGGTGTTTTATGTTTTTCTAACTTTTACAATTTTTTAATTAATATGTTTTTAGTTTTTACGAATTTTTACATTGCCGCGAAGTGAGAACTGAATTAACTGAATGAGAAATACATCTCTAATGAAATCCGAGGCAATATGTTTAAATTAACTGCAGAAATAAATGTGTGTCACTTAGAAGGTCATACAAGGAGGTCATGTGGTGTCCAAATCAGATTTTTTCCTTGAAAACTCAGTCAGTTTTGAAATCATTTTAATTCCAAATCTGTAAATCATTGCATCATTTTTCAGGAAATACAAACTTACGATTTAAAATATTAAACTTGATAGAGAATTTTTGTTTCAAATAGTTACCTTTGTTAAATATAAAAGTGTTCAGATATAGTTCACTCAACTTTATGCAGGGGCGCGAGTTGGC